TTCGCCCCATCCCAAAATCACCCCATGCCCACTTTGCCCCATCCCCACTTCACCCCATCGCCACTCCCGCCCCATTTCCATTATCGCCCTATCCCCACTTCGCCCCATTTCCCCTTTTCCAATTCGCCCCATCCTCACATCGCCCCATCCATGCGTGAGTGTGTTAAGCTGCTTCACGTACGAACAAGTTTCGTGCGAGAATTTCCCGCATGCAAATTACGCTTATTTAGACGTCATCGCGAAGCGCTTGCTTAACGCACACCACTCGCCTTTGGCTAAGTCCGGCCCGAACTCGGTTCTGTTTTATGAACTGAATCTGCTTGCCCTGAAGAAGGTACTCAGTTACCGAAAGCTCGGCAATCACTTATTTCAGAGCACTGATTTGATATTATATTCTTGTCGTTATTCTGATCACGGCGCTACGCAGCCTTCCATATTTCTCTGTTTTATGAATGAGCTGATTATGCATCGGGTTCTACACATGCGCAGTATTGATATGATTAAAAGGTAAGATGGCTGCTTTCAGGTGCCGAAGAAGCGTCATTATCGGTGAAGTTGCCGGTGAGTTATGGCAGTTCAAATTTTTTTGCGTGCTACTTTTTTCGTCTTCGAAGTTCTGGGCGTCTGTAGGTATCCCTTTTCTGGCTCTGCAAAATTACGTTGAAAATCAAGTGACTTCTTTCTTAATAGCATGGTAATAGTTTATTTGTCACTCTTTCAAATTGATATAAAATAAAAGGGTGGTCGGATTAAAAGCATGAAGGTTACAGGCAATATTCATAGTCCTTTTGACAATTTGACTGCCAGGATTTGGTAATTACTCTTAAGTAGAAATAGAAGAAGTGCTGTTGTGATGAAACACGTTCATGCTGCACATGCATTTTGTACTTAAAAGAGTCCCCAAGCTCAAGTTCAGAGATCGATTCTTCCTTGATAAATTGACTTCCAAGATTTCATTTTTTCACTCATGTGTTGTCTATTCCTGCCTCCATGGCTATTGTGCATATGTGCTGGGGCGATTCCAACCCCATAATAAAACATTTCTGCCATTTGCCCTCGTTGAGTAGGCGTGCTTGTACACTTTATTTCCTTTTCTCGGAAAGATTTGTCCACCAATGCTATTTCGTAGTGATCCCTTTTAATGAGAGCCGTTAGTGAGAAAGTTTCCTCTTTGTGCAAGGTAGATACAAAATTGATCCCTTCCTCTTATCCCTCACTATGTGTAGAAAGGTGTAACAAAGTTGCAAAACTCTTTACAAGGTGAAAGACTTAACAGTGCACGTATGATTTCAATGTTTTTCCCATGTAGACGGCCCAAAATAGTAGACGGCACCAGTAATGACCCTTGATTGACCCAGAGACAAGGATTGCTAATTGTACATGTACATGAAAATTTATTTCTTACTCATTTACATTATTTACCCCGATACTATAATGTTTCACAAAAACTATCATAGGCTGATGTTGACATCCCTAATTACTAGACGCATTGATTTCTTTCTTTCCTCACAGGTCTCCCATTTTGTGCAACTCCATGTGTGAGGAAGACCCCTAGCCCTGTAATGAACCTGCAGGAATATGAAATGGATATGATGGACGTTTTTAATTCCAAATGTGTGATATGCTTGCTTTATTGTTGTCAGTGAAGTCCTAGATAAGGTAAACAAATAGTTCTGCTTCCGATTGCACGCCTCTCAAAAACAGGGTGCGTTGGTCGGGATTTTTTCTGGGGTGGGGAAATTGTTTGTACTGATTGCATGCCCTGTTAAGTTACAAGCAGATGTCCATCTGGTCCAATTCCGTTTGTGTTACGAATGGAGTGGAAAAAACGGACATAAAAAGCCATGAAATTTGCCTTGAAAATTATTAAATATATTGTCGACAATGCTTTTTAGATGATGGACAATTCGCACCACAATTATGTACGAGGCTACAAGGAACTTGCAGACAACGTTCGTATACCAATGAGTGAAAAGCCTGGTTTCCATGTGGTCGTTTGTAACGCACACGGTCTGCAAGACGTCAAGACGCAGACAGTCGCGGATGAGACGCAGTGCGACGTCATCCACCCAAAAAATTAAACAAAATGGCGCCCGAGACTCGGAAAATTTTCGCCAAAAATAGCTTTTTTAGGTGGCAATGTTTCCTTTTGAATCCAAACTGATACTCTAGTTTGATGTGATTTGTTAATGGTTAGCTATTTTGTTGACGAATGGGGCTGCATGCGCTTGTGAAAAGGAGAAAATGGACAAAATGAGTGATACTAAGCGACAGAAACATCGTTGTACCCCCGTCATACCAGCGTGTGTGTTTGTATCCGCCCTGAGCTTATAGTGCACCCCCTATCGGCGAAAAGAAAGACAGGGGGTTACAAGCGGGTTCTTGCATCGTTCTGAGTCTACGCAAAGGTCATACATGCCGGAGTCAATTAGTTATGCGTTCATAGTGTGCTCTGCGTCAAAGGCGCATGTACTGACATGTACAAACTAGAAGAATAGCAAGTATCAGACACTTACTTTCTCAGAACGCAGCAGAGCAACTCATTCATGCCTTTATCACTGCTAAACTTGATTTTTGCAATAGCCTGCTCACCGGTCTTCCGCACGGTACAATTCATCGTTTGCAACTTGTACAGAACGCTGCCGCACGTCTTCTAACGAGCACCAAAAGAACAGCTCACATAACTCCCATTCTCAACAAACGACATTGGTTACCCATCAAATACAGAATTCAGTTCAAGATCCTCCTTCTCACATTCAAGACACTCCACGGCTCTAGTCCCCTTTATCTTGCAAACATGCTGCAACTCCGCTCTGTCAGGCCGGGTCTGAGGTCAACAAGTAATACCCTAGTTGATCCCCGGACTCGGCTGGCCAGTGCCGGNNNNATTATTATTACTGCAAAGGCGGACGCGTCACGATTCGCAGGCTCCCATTGGACGATCGAAGAAGTTGAACGTTAATTTCCGGTTCCATGGTTCCACATAAACGGTGATCAATGCATTTAACCCTATGTGACGTCACACTTACGAACCGGATACTGCGAGTACCAAAACAAACATGCCCTCTTTTGTTCCGCTCGGAGCGGATAGGCCTACTCAGCGACTCGACGCAGACAGTTGGCAAAGTTGAACTGGGCTCAAATTTGCCGATCCGGCTGGGGCTGGTTTGCAGCATCGATGACACTTCCATTTGACATATTTCCATTTGTCTGCGTTGTATTTTGCGTCTTGATTGCGTTGCTCTCTGCGTTTCTTACATCGATATGGAAACCAGGCTTAATGCAGCAAGCTAGGGGCCGGCGGGTGATGAACCTCGTGTTGCGCCGTGCGGCGGGAACCAGCACCGCATTGCTTAAGCATATAGATCATACGTAGGCAAAACATGAATACAAGCGTCTTTTTTAAGTGCAATAGGCTGTTTGGAGAGTTTACGTGGAGACAGAAAATATACGGAATTGTACAAGTTCATTCGAAATTGTTCACCCACCAAGTGTTCTGGTCGCGCCGAAAAATTATAGTCGGTCAGGAAACCGGAAGCAGAACTATTTCTCCGTGTCCTGTATGAAATTATACTTCACCATAACTTATGGTTTATTTTCTGTGGTTTTAGTCAAAAGTAACTTGAACGCTAGATTATATATAAAACTGCTTTATTTTCATTATCAGATTATTTTATTTCAATGAAGATCAAGTCAAATCAAGTTAAGTTTTCTTTTAAACTCAGATATAAATTTAAGGGAGAACCCCGGCAAACACGATTTCTGTGGATCAGCCAAGAATTTGGAATTTGTGCTTGTGCCCTCCTCTGTGTTAAAATATGTGATGTTTTGAGAACATACACGTATGTGCCCTCAGGTTAATGGCATCAACTTTAAAAACGTGCCTCTGTTTTTTTCCCCATTATCTTCGTAAATAAAACTGCTGGCTGACGTTCTTGCAAGGAGGTTGTTAAAGTTGATGTTTGACGTACATAAATTTTGTGTAGATACAAATTTCATAGCCTGTTTGAAAAAACATTCTGAAAAAAAATGGTTGAAACCATGACATGTAATCACTGGCTTATTACCTCGCCTTCCGAATTCCATTAAAGGAAAAGAAAAGTTGCACCATTGAATCTGCCTTTTCGTTGGCTTCAATCGACCTAGGCAAAGTAACATAATCATTACTTAAAAAGTGCAGTTTTATACTACAACACTCCAACCTGAATGAGTGGTTCCTCTTTTTGCATTTCAGAAAACGTTTGTTTGCTGCTCTTTTTCTCTCTGGTGACCTCATTTTACAGATATGAAACCTAATTGTAAAAATGCCCATGGCACGGTCATTAAAAATTGTGGAAATTGATAATCCGATGACAATAAATGTTTGTACTGCTTTTGAACAATGTTGGTTTTGTTTCATATTTTGTCACGAAAACGCAGGACTTTGTATTTGATCGCTGCCAATACAAGAGGAATAATATTGTTACTGTAAGAGGAAGGCCACGTGTGGTGTAAGAACAATTGAAGCAAGGAGTTTTATTTTATTGTAAAGCGATCTTTTTCGACCTGCAGCTCCAGCATCCTATATTCCATGCATGTACAAACTACACTATTGGCTTTTCTTACTATTTATGCAAATTTTATGCCCCAGAACTGAAAACAAGGTTGTAGGGGACTCTGCGCTGTCGGCGAACATGGCGAAGCGTTGTTCAGTGCCGTGTTGTAGCAATCACGAACGAAAATCATCGGCAGAAATTAGCTTTAATAGATTTCCTAGCACTGTTTTTTTTCTCATCCTCTTCAAGTTCTGTGCACATCGTTCTGGTAATTGTCGATGCATCCAGACAAGTGCTCAGGCGATCAAAGAGACCTGGCATCGCGGCAGGAAACACGTTCGCTTTAAAGTACCAGCAAAACAACCTAAAATGAAACTCATTCCATGAACACAGAAAATACACATATATTAAACAAGATACTAAACTAAGTTCTGTGAATTAATTTGAGGAAATCTTGCAACATCGATTTTTTTTTTTCGATCCGTGAGGTCACATACTTGTGCAGTCCCCGCGGGATGAATAAACTGGTTGCCAACGGCGGGAACCAGCGCAGCATTGCTTCACACGTGTAAGTTGCTTTTCAAATGTTGCACATATTGGGAAAACATGTAAACTCAAGCGTTATAATACGATTTATTTATTTGTCATTCTTATATTTATTAAATTTGTTTGCGAAGTGGCATGGGGCGAAGTGGAAATGGGGTGAAGTTGGAATTGGGCGTAGTGGTTGGGGGCGAAGCGACCGACACCATTTTCAAATGCATACAGTTTTACGTGTTTAGATGTGTCACACAGTATTTGGGTGGTCTTCGTGACACACATTGTGTTTTATTGTTTGCTTTATTATAGTCAATCTGAACAGCAAAACTACCAAGATGCTGTGTTGTCAAGCTACTGAGAGCTAGTACTTTAAATTTGCAACCATTATATATTGAACTTGAACGAGCTTGAAATAAATGATCTCAGACTGGATCTGACGTGGAACTTACTTGGCAGATTCAGAAAGAATTCCGGCCAGAAATTTGTACCAATCTTACAGCTGCTGGCTACACAGAGCTTTTTACTGGAATTTTCAATGGAGGTGCAAATATGCACTCATTGTAAGGCTGCACACTCAGGCGACGGCAAATGACTTGCATGCTAAAGTTTAAATTGATAGTGCTGATGACGGACGATGAACCTATTAGCAAAATACTAAGTTGCCTTTACTGAGTAGCTGTCTGTTAATGAAGTGTACGAACCAGACAGGTCATCCCTTTTTGCCGCAGATTTCCACGGACAAAATCTCAACATGAAAGCTCTCCTGTCCGTGATTTGCCTCGGATTTTTAGTGGGCAGTTCACATGGTAAGCTTTTGCTTTCTTTGAGAATATTTCCAGAGGGTGCATTATTATATGCTTTACAACTTACTCATGTGGATTGGTACACTTGGAGTTGGAAGTCTGAGGTGAGCTCGTCACCACTTTTACTCCTATGATGCTGGATCGATGTGGAACGAGTCCAGTGTCATCAATTGGTTTTCCATTTCGGTACAGCTTTTCAGAAAAAAAGTGTTGTAATGGGAAATGTAACATTACCTAGTTAAAATACACATAAACCATGTTCTTAAACAGGCCTTCCATGATAGAGAAATGCATGGGAGTAAATCCGGGTGGGGGGGATTGGGGTATCTCCCCCACTTTTTGGGGGATGGGCCATCGAAATACCCCCCACTGACTGTGAAGAATGTTTGGAACTTACCAACGACTAAAATGTATTCAATCACTACTCAAAAGAAAAAAAGATTAAAAAGCAATAACCATGCCATTCTGATATAAGATTCTGCGTGAATGCAATACATACATGTATCACAGAGGTACATCTGTGTCATGAACATCACCCCCATGGCGTATGGTGTCGCCCCCCCGCATTTTCAAATTGCCATGGCCGGGCAAGTTACCATAATCGTGATCATTTTATGGTTATGAATCGGGAATTATTTTTTTTACTCAATTTTTTCGACGAAATTTGCTCGATTCTTCAGAGATTACATCAGAGTTTTTAGAAGGTCAACTAATCTTAACCTCTTTTTTATACAAATGCCAACGATTAAAAAATATCAAACAACTGTGGAAACCTATGGAGCCCTTCACACACACACAAACTAAATTGTGCGCATGATCTCATGTTATCGTGCAGACGATTTCATTTCATCCCATCATGCAAATTTGCATTGCATGGCACTATGCACGTTATACACAAACCATGCAAGAAGTATACTTTTTTTACAGGCACGTGCCCGCCGACGGGGACCGGGCAGTACTTCCAACTGGGCCCTTGGTGTTACATCGCTCAGGGAATATCCGCTGATGAACGGGCTAATTTCACTGAAGCCAACGAGGCTTGTAAGGCCTTGGACCCTCGCGGTAAAACAGGCACCTTGGCTGTCATTAGTCAAGTGGAAGTGCAGTGTAAGTTTGTCTCGGTTTAAAAGCTCAATTTGTTTTAAAACGTCTCTATCACGTGATGTTCTTTGCCACGTCATAAGCGCAGTTTTTCCCAACAAGGGGTTGGCAAAACTATGGCTAACCGAGAAAGCAAACCAAACGAATACATGTAATTCCTAAAGAGTTCAAAAGTCTCACACAAATTTCGAAACAAAAGGAAATACTTCTACTAAATACGGCAGGATGACTTAAATTTGACAAATCATAATTTGTCCATTATTCCACTTACCCCTACTGTTGATTTTGGAATGCTGCGAATTTTAGTCTCGCTATTCTGTTTGAATTATTGTTGAATCCTTCTCCACAGCTCTGCTCACCGCCATCTTGGGCTTCGTGTTTGACACCAACTCGTGGATCGGTCTGTCCCAGGGTATCTTCCACGAAGATGAGCCTGGTTTCCAATGGGTGGATAAAAGCGAGTTCAGATACCAAAACTGGGCACCTTTCCAGCCAGATGGTTTCGGCCTCATCCCTGGATTTGTAAGTAAGAAAAAAATGTGTAAAACCGCAAAAGGTTTTCCTGATCACATTTTGGACCAGTCATTACTCCGTCCCAAACCCCTGCTATCATGTAACGCTAGAGACTGTCTTGTTCCAGTAACGGTATACTGTCTTCTTTCTGCCCCTGTACCGACATTTTAAAAGCAGCTGACACTTGATGTCTATCATTCAAGAATAATAATTAGCTGTCTCATCGTTATCATTTTGTGAATGTTTCTGTCGGACAGGGGTGTGTATGTAGATCATTTCGACGACTGGGGAATGATAGATAAACATTGCTCTGATCACTTCTCTGCACTTAACTTATAAAAAGGGATTAGGAAAAGTGAACGAAGGCAGCCATAGACCTTTATCATGATGCTGTCATTTTTTTCTTGCCACAAGTGTACTAAATGACAAAAGTAAGGCCGTAGCCGAATCACTTGGCTACAACCGGCATTAACACACGACTTATGGGAACTGGCCGCGGCCACTGCCATAGACTCGTGCGTAATTTTCGGCCGTAGCCAAGTGATTCAGACATGGCCTTATACAGCTTTTGATAAAAGAAAACAGACTATTTTCCTTGCGGCTTCATGTGGCGGAGTCAATTCAAATAATTCCATATTCGACCTTCAATTCGATCGAATATCCGACTGTTCGTTCGTACCGACAGGCAGATTGTTGATGAACAATCCATATACAAAATCAGTTGCAGTAACGCACAAAATTGTACATTTAATCACTGTAATAGCTTCTCACGTCTGGGAGTATCTCCAGCCATGATTTAACAAGATTTAGAAACGAACAATACTTCTTCTCCTTTAAAATTTTGTTATGCATAAATTAAATTTTCAATTGTTGTAAGATTTCTGTCGCTTTTCATTCGAGTCTGCTTGAAACAAGCCCATACAGTGCAATTTTTAGCATTGAAAACAAAAGAGAATTCTCCATTCGTTTTCATGAATTTTGCATTCGAGTAATCGAAATCGGAAAATAATATTCGATTATTCGATACTCAATCGAATTTCCGTATATTCGGCGCAGCCCTACAGCTTCATAACGGTTGCTTTGCTTTCAGTAAAAGAGATTGCACTGTCCCATGATAAAGTGGTAGGTTCGTCTGCTGTTTTGTGTAATCATCCCTCCGTAGAACAACGCTCTTACTAGTAGCAGAGATTTGACCTTGCATTTCTTCTGAGCATGAAATGTTGGCGTTTCCGTTGACAGGGAAGTGACTGTGTGGAACTGTTCAATGACCGCGACCACCCTGGCCGCTGGTATGATGTCCCGTGCTCCAAGAAAAATGCCTACATTTGTCAGGTTAAAGCACGTACGTGTTTCAGTCATTAAATATTTTATACTGATGAAGTTGGAATGCTGCTTTATTGTGAAGGATCAAATGTTGGTTCAGTATGACCATCATTTTATTTTACACTTCTGAATGTTGTACTAACAATCAACTTCTTTGCTTTGATAATCATTTTCCTGCTGATCCCTGCCAAATCATATAAATTTCGATATTGTAATCTGTAAAGGCTAAAACCTGCCATACAGCTTCAATTTTTGGAAAGGCAACCACCACCAGCGCCGCCGTTGCTGCTGCTACTACTATTAACGGTTTTAACGCATTTGCTTAATAAGACTTAAAATGGAAAATACTTGAAACCAAATGTTAACATATATCTGTTTATTCAGTCGATTTGGAAATACACAACAGATCATCCGAGTGCCTGGCAAACTATACCGACTATTTCTCCTCATGCTTCCGCCTGTACACGAGCCCTGAGACATTCGATGAGGCAGAGAAGGTGTGTCTGACTGACTCCCCAGTGGACAGTTTCCTAGCAACCGCTGACAGTGGCTTCGACAATGCCTTCATGGAGTACATGTTGTACCAGCAAATCGAGAACGGGTCCATCTTCACAAACAATGCGTGGATCGGCTTACGGAGAGAGCCGGTACGAATGGTTCAAAGTGTTGTTCTGAATTGGGCCCCAAGCCACTTGTCCCATGCCCCACGCAGGCCAATATTTTCCATTGTTTTACCCTCAAAGAGCCTTTCTGTTTGTATTTTGCTGTCTCAGTTATGTATAAACACATTTCATTGAAACCTGTATAAAC